GTTTTCATCATTTCGTATTTTGTTTGATCAAAAAATGTTTTCTTGTATTTTATTAATTTGGGAAAAATTTATGTGTAAATAAATTATTTATCTATTTACGTGATAGTCTCTTATGTCAGTCAAAATCGCGATATTTTCGTTTTTTAAGATAATAGTTGTGTGTTTTCATCATTTCGTATTTTGTTTGATCAAAAAATGTTTTCTTGTATTTTATTAATTTGGGAAAAATTTATGTGTAAATAAATTATTTATCTATTTACGTAATAGTCTCTTATGTCAGTCAAAATCATTTAGTCATGTCATTTCAAAAGAAAATTTAATTACTCTGATCCCTATAATGAGTATTTTAATGTGATAAATACTTGAGTGCGATAGCAATCAAAAAGGAATGTAGAAATGACCGCAAGAAGCACGAATGTGCTGTCGGTAACGGACAGCAGGAAGAGGAAACACGCGCGGCGCGAGAATTTTTCCGGAAAAGTCGAACGATGACTCGTTCCTTCATCGCTCGCCTCGACTCGCTTCTGTACGTTCCCCGCTCGCGCGGTCCGCAGCACGTGTAAAAGAGACTGCGGGAGCAGTTTTTGCCGTAATCTTCGCGGCTCGTTTCCGCCGCCGCGACCACAGAATTCGCCCGAGAGAGGAGAGCGATTTTGCGCAGAGACGCCACACTGTTGCGGCGCGGTACGCCTCACCGGCGACGCTGATCGTCGCGCGGTAGCGGTAAGCAGTTTCGCAATTTCCGCGATAATCCGCGTTGCGGAACAGGTCCGCAACGTCGTCGGCGAAACGTCGTCATGTATGCGCGCGGTATCTGCTATCCGGGCCTGATAAATTCACCGGTGATGTTTACGACCCAGTTAGGGGGACGATGACGGTCGGGACTCTCTGACTCGCGAAGCGCATTATTCCCTACCTGCGTCCCACGGCCATATCCCTCGTAAATATCGTCGATGTTCGCTTTTCCGAGACGATAAAGCTCGCATCTACTTCGGAATCATCGTGAAACGATAAAATCTAACGGTACCGTGCGCGCGCGCAGGTCTCGAATGGTGTGAATTGGTGTTTACCGTCGCTTAATTAGCGCGTACGATTTATGGGCTGATCCGGCTCACGGATTTGCGACGGAATTTTGCCAGCTAACTAATGTATCGCGATATCCGGAACATGATTGTAGAACACCAAATAAATGTCACTGATCTGTCTATTTATTTAGCCTTTTACGCTTATCTATTCTTTTATCTCGCAATAAAGTTCCAAGAATTTTAGTGCCGAAAAGTGGCTATAACTAGGAAACTAGGAAGTTATAATATTCGAAAAAAATGAATAAAGATAGCTATTATAATGTCTCATATAATCCTAAAAGAGTTGTGCTCGAAGTCTTATCGTAATTACATCTATCTAAATATTTAATCATTTATTTATGCAAAAAAAAATTAGCAATACTACTTTAGAATCAATGCATAATTAAAACGCGTATTCTAATATAATATTCAGTGTAAATATAGCTTTGGAATTCGCAACTTTTAAGCAAATGAAAAATTACTCGGTGGGCGTATAGAAATTATATATATAGTCGTCACATATTTCACGTATGAAAGAGGCCAAGGAAAAGCCTACTTGTCAAAGCGGTGACAGTATGCGTGTCCGGAAACGCACTTGATCGACTCTCAATTGGGAAATGCCGACGCGTACTATCGATGGCACTGTTCGAGGTCTCCGTGGTTCCTCCGCGTGGTGAAAGTCCGCGGAGAAGTTTCGCGAGCGGCTCGTCGGCAGAAAAGACGGGACGCGGCGCGTACGCGGCGACGACTGTGCAGCGGAGAAGACTGTGCCCTCGCCTATCGAGTAGCAATAACCATAAAACCTATTGGCCGCGACGTATTTACATTCCATCGTCAGTACCTGCGAGAGAGGAGTGCCTTTCGTCGGTAGGAACGAAAGAAAGAATCGAGAGGGAAGGTGGAAAGGCACGACTGCGATCGTATGCCGGAAGCAACCGAGTTTTTTCAACGATCGGAACATTCCGAAGCGGAGAAACATCCGGAGAAACGCGGGCGTGTAAAGTGGAAAGATAATCGTCGGAAGTTGAGTATCGGCAATGCGCGCCGTTCGCCTACCGCAAAGTAGCTCGAAAATTTCCTTCGCGAATGCATTCATCGTTAAGTTATATGATCATATGACGCGAGAGAGATTGCCGAGATAATCAGGCGACTTTGTAGATTTACGACAACAATTGCCATTTATTGATCTCCGTGATAAATGTCTCTCGTTAGAGCAGATCCTATAAGATTTAAATGACTAATATCTCAGATATCGAAGATAAATGTTTCATTTATGACACTTCGTCGTGTCTTACCCGACGATTTGGTCTTAACGATCTCTCTTCTACAACTATGAAATTTTATCTATATTATCGCAGATTTATGCCAGCAGACATACGGCGGCGTTTCGTATGAAAACGTAGCCGTGCATTGTTTTCACAATGAGATAATATTACACAGCATCATTTATATTATATGTCACAATTAAATCTGTGCGCGCGGATGGATCATTTATATCAACTGTGCCGGAGTCTTTATGAAACATTACGCGCTAATTAACGGTAAAATATGACGTAATAATGTTAGATGCGCCGTATCGCACGCTACATCGAGCAAGTAGCGCGCGTACCGACACCACCGCGCCCGGTTCAGCGCCGAGTCCGCGCCGCGCCGCGGATGGGATCGCTCAAAATCGTATTTAACCGTAATGGTCAATGGCTGGCCGTGATTAGAGGGCATTACCGGGTAGCGTCGAGAAAGAGAGAGCGCGGGGCCACCCACCAACCTCAATCAACCTCTCGAGAGCGAGAGCACCGGCCGTCTCCTCGTCCTTTTCTGCTCAGTGAGAGCGAGGCGTCTCTCTCTTTCTCTCTCTTTCTCTCTCTCTCTCTCTCTCTCTCTCTCTCTCTCTCTCTCTCTCTCTCGGTACCCCTCGCTTCTTTCCACGGCGATTGCTACGGCTCTACAACCGCCCTGGCCGCCACAACCGTCGCCGCTCATCCTCCGAACGGCGAACGGAACGAAAGCGAGCCGAACCCACTTCAACAACAACAGTGCGTACCAGATACTATACGGTTCGTACTTTGATGTGCACCAAGCGCACCTCGGTGCCTCCTCTTCCCGCCGCGAAAGTGAAATCCGGATTCACTCTATCCTTCATTTCCCGAAAGTAGTAATTACAAAGGATAGAAGTAATTTCTATTTCCTTCTCTCGAGAAAATCCGATTCATTGATCTTAAGATTCAAGAAAATAAATGCATGCTACAGAATTCGATATTTAAGAAACAGATAAGATGTGATTACACAGATTTAAAGGAATATTACGTTCCTATTCGCAGATTGCGAATACGTTTGAAAAGATATCTGCATCGCGATAAGAGCCACTAAAACCCATGAATATTGACGCTTTCCAATGGTAAGGGGCTACTCGCTTTCGGCAGTCCTTAACTCCTCGCTGGAAACGACGCTGAAACGACTGATTCGATCGCTTTAGTAAGGCCGTATCTACCGATATAGCTCTAACCTCGCGATTCCGATCTCGACGCTTCCCGATGAAACAGCGAACTTTATCGGCGATATTTTAAATCCCACGATCGTGTACGCGTTCGCCGACTTTTACACCTGGCGCGACTTACACTGGTGTTATACCTTACGCCTTCGCGTTAGCCGTAGCATATTTACAGCTTAATATAAAATCGTATCGGTAAACACGTGCACAAACGTGCGTTTATGCACGTGGTCACACTTTAGCGAAACAGATAAAAGGGACGAGAGCAAAGCCGTGAGAATCGGACAGTCGCGAATTAATATAAATATTGACGCGCGGGGGTGTCATCGTACGAGAGAGCATAATATTAAAAAAAAAGTAAATATTTTATATCATGACTTCGTGCCTGTTGTGTATGTTGGAAGCTAAATAACATTATCTTATGCTATATATGTAAAATCTAGAGACGGAGGTGCAGGACCTGCCAACGGACAAGAAATAGATGCACAGCTGTGACAATTTTTATTGCGTGTAACTATCTCTTTATCGCGGTACACGTACATTCGCCAATCGGGGAACGATAAATAAAGCCGCGTAAAACGAATCGGAGGATCCATAATAATAAAATAGATCAATATCTATCCGTAACAATCACCGCGCGGTAGCACATTTCCGGTTTACTCGCACCTTAGACGATTTTAGCACCTCGCACCTGCGTGGTAGCCGTAAGACTTTATTTACACGAGTAATCTCGGAACGAGTAAGTTGCGAGTCGCTTGGTTGCGGCGAGTCGCGGCGATATCGAGCGCGGTGTAAAGATTATAACAAATTGCGTGGCGTGCCGCGGCAATAATTAATTAAACGGCAATAGCACTGAAAAGAAAAGAAATACAATGTATACTAGAGATACGATAAGAGCTAATATATAATTGGCGAGGAATCGAAAAAAATGCCAGTGGTGATAAATTTTGAAGTGACTCCTTGCACGGCAAACAAATATCATATTTCTCCGTGGCATTTACGCACGGGTTGCGCGTTTGAAACGCGCCTTTTTTTAGCACGATACTTTACAACTATCAAGATTAGACTATTCAATTATTTGTCGAATACCTTTTCAGTATCTATATTGAAGAATAACAAAGATAGATATCTTCGAATTGGAGCTTTGTAATTTCAAAATCTATACGAACGTAGCCTCTATATTTCTTTTTTTTAGATTAAAAATGCGTACATGCATAACGAAATAAAATACAATTATAAAAGGAATATATGTAAGCTGAATATATGTAAGATGTAATATATGTTTGTTTGGTGTGCATTCTTGCACGAAAAATCGATGATTACACATATAATTAACGTTAAATAATCAATCTGCCGTGAAAGGATCTATGAGATGTTCTTTTTATCTGTAACATTCTTTCACAGATTTATTTTCTGATGAGATTAAGATAAAAGTCAATTTGACTCACCGTTATGATGCGCAACAGCGGTGTTGTAATATAATCTGCAAAATCAACATATATACATTTTGATTTTGCAAAACTAGCGCCCATATACACACAATATATTGAGTAAATATTGCATGCATTAAATTTTTTTTGTCAAACAAGTATTTATATAGTGAAATTACTTTCTAAAAAATGTCTTCTTAAATATAAACTTTTATAATAAATGTGTAAATAAAAATCTTTTTCAAAAAACAATCCAAATAAAGATTAAACGATTAATTTTTAGTATTATAAAATAAATGATAAATTATATACTTATCCAACCTTAGGTTGTTCCTGATGCTTTCCAGGTCTCCTCCCCATCTCAGATTCCTCCAGGTTCCTTCAGTTTGCCTCCTCTCAGATGCACACACAACACAATACAACGCGAAAGCGCTCGATTGGTTACGAGAGCGCGCCCGTACTAAATACTAATCATTCGAATATGACGATGCGAGAAATATGTCTTTGCGACATCTTGCACAGCATTCAACGAAAGAATAAGATGAAGAAAGTAATGTCAGATGCGAAGGTGCGAAAGTAATTAATATCCACTCGCGACGCGCGACGCTCCGTTTCGAGAAACTATAAACATGGCGGAAGGACTTCGTGGAAATCGCGGGGGGCCAACTTTACGCACCAAAAGTGATTATCGTCGCGACGCGACGCTGCGCCTGTTGCGCCAATAAGCGACACTAATGCGTGCACTTTCCGTACTACTGATATTCCGTACTATTGATGTCGTACATTTGCATTTCATGATTGCATCGCAACGTAAAGACGATCGAGCGCCCGCGAATTGCATTATTCGATACGATCGTCACTTTATCGATTAGATCGAACTATGAATTTTGATCGCGTGAATCTCCGCGAGGTAAATATCCAATATCACGAAGCTGTGAAAGTAATATATATCTACTCGCGACGTTCCGTAACTAACGATCAGAAAGTCTAGTGACGAAGAGAATTCGCGAAAATCGCGGGGGGCCAACTTCACGCATCAAAAATTATTAGCGTCACGGCGATGCCACACCTGTTAGCACTTCTTCCTCTAGAGTCTCTAGACTAATCGTGCACTTTTCGCACTTTGCATAACGATGCATACACTTGTAACATAAAGACCCGCGATACAATGTGCGTCATCAGAACGTCACTATCCGATACGATCGTCGTTTTATCGATTGCTCGGGCGATCGCGTTAATCTCCGCGATGTTCAATTTACGATTACCGAATCTGTGCCACGCGATCGTCATACACTATATCTAATCGCCGGGATATGATGATCGCGCGACACATTCCAACGGAACTCCCGACATTGATCGCGACACGCGACACGCTGTTATCGCGAAAGATAACCGCGATCGAATAACATCACAATTCATGTTCCTTCATTAATGCTCCTAAAGATTAAGGCGACCCCCCATGGCACTAGCGTACGTGCTTCTCTATATAAGCAAGCTAGTACATCTTAAAAAATTGGACAATTTTGTAAGCGAATAAAGAAATGCGCATGCAAATCGATCGCGCTATTCGCAATCATATATTATCAATGGAATTATTTAAAAATACAAACAATAGAACTGTAGAACTTAAAGGACGTGTCACAACAGTCCAGAACTGAATTCAATTCTCCTTGAAATATGTTGTTAAACACAAAAATCTAAAAGACACATATTTTTTTATACATGCAAAATCACATGTTTAGGGGGTGAAACACCCCTTTGAAAATAAATGGTTCTTCATAGCGAATATCGTCCAAAGTATAAAAGATAGAAAACAATTTTTTTAAACAAAAGTTGTACGATTTGAAGAGTACTTTCAAGTTATAAAGGAAAACAATTTTTTATTTGAGTGGTGGGAATATTTTGTTAAATAAAAAGAAATTAAAAATTTTTTTTCTTTTAACTTGAAAGTATTCTTCAAAGCATATAGCTTTTGTTTAAAAATTCTTTTCTCTCTTTTGTACTTCCGACAATATTTGCCACGAAAGAGAAGAAACCATTTTTTTTAAAGGGGTGTTTCACCCTATAAACATGAGATTCGCCGCACATATAAACAAATATGTGTTTCTTAGATTTTTGTGTTTAACAATATATTTCAAGGAGAATCAAATCGATTCCGGACGGTTGTGACATGTCCTAGTCAGTCCTAGCTTTGTTATAAGTGTGCATTTGTTCGCAAAAACGGGATTCGATTGTCCACATCGCTAATTGGCCAATCTAATGTAATTTTCTTGATTGCTTGGTCCAACGGAAAAAATTCCAAACACCGATATAACTGTGAGTGGCGTGGTCAATCACGCCGTGGGCCAATGGAACTCTTTCCTTTCGCAATGTTAAGCTAATATTATATTTGTTCGTACGACACTTCGTTATAATTTCGTAGCGGAGACGAATTCGACACAGATCAGTCTTGCTTTTATATTTTCGCTGGATCTAATTAGTGTAAAAACCAATCATAATAAAGAATCACTAAGCGCCCACTGGTTTGTTTTCTCTGCTGAACGCAGCCAATCACAATACAGTTGGGCGCTCGGCGCTGTGGTGTGGCGCTTGTTGTGTATTACGCACGGTAACCTTGAGTCATTCGCACGTCCAATGCCCGACGCCGAGATTCGAGCAGGCAGGCAACGCGGCGCCGCGTGAGACCCTCCGCGTGTCGTCGCATTATTCTCCGTGATATGATAGCGAATACCTAACGAGTATCGATCTACGTGATTAACTCCCGTCATTAACAAGTAAGCACATCGACGCGACGGCTCTTCATCGAGACACGTATTTTGCTCTCATTTCCCCATTTATTCAATCAAAATAAGAAAGCTATAGGACGGATACTGTCCATATAAGCTTACGTTGTCGCGATTTATTCGTAATAAGTTTGCATATGTAATACAATCTATTTCTTTAATCACGTTTCAATCCAGTTAATTTCGCACCGCGCTTGCAAATCTTCGTCGATTTAAAGTGTAATTTGTCAAGAACACCCGCGATATCGTTTTGTGGGATTCATATACATGCGCGTGGGCAATATTGAATTTCGATTATGTATTTTCGGACAGCCAATCGCATTTTTGTCAACTAACTAATTGATTAGCGTCGTATTGCGCGTTGTATAATCGAATTGAAGTTGCCAGCGTCGCATTGTCGAATTTTCGTCGTCATTAACGAAACGTCGCGGAACGGATTACAGATGTACACAAGGCGCCATAAATGCCTACTCATCTGAAATTACAGGGTCACATATACGTATATATTATTGTATATACATATATATAATACATATACATGGGTTAGTATCCCTGCAAGTTCAGATGGGTAGGCATTTGTGACGCCTTGTGTACGTCGCGATGTGCTTGATTAAGTCGATTCGTTATTATCCTTATGACAATCTCGCAACAAGTGAATTCTACGTTCGTTGAAACATATTTCGCGAGATTTGCACGATCGAAATCTGTACGATAATTAAACGCGGACAACACTAAGTGACGATCATATTTTTGCATATCGTGTTCCGTGAGCCTTAAATTATCTCTGATCTTGCACATTTCTTTGCTTGTTAGAAGAGACGAGATGGGCAATTACCGCAAAACGCGCAAGCGTGTATTAATTAATATTCAATATGTAAAGTGTAAGAAAGGGTAAGAAGGTATAGTCCGTATAGTTATGAGCAACAGGTGCACAGCGTCGCGGCGCGGCGCGGCGCGGCGGTATAATCGCTCCTGACGCGTGAAGTTGGCCGTTCGATTTGCAAAGTTTCCCTGCCATCTTAGAGGGCATTCGTTGCGTTTGTTTGCGACACGTCGCGGGTATCGAGCGCGTATCGCGTGCAGTCTCGTAAGATAAGTTGTCGTTCGTTTCGTGCGTTGTTCGTCGCCAAGCGAAGCGAAGTACATATATATACGCGTTTCGCGCGTTTTGACGCCGGGAGTGCCGTATAAAGTAACGCGCGAGCATTAATAGCGCTCCGTCGTGTGTGCGTTAATTAACTTGAGTGTTTCCGCGGGTGAGTGTTGTGCCAGTGCAAATGAAGGGAGATCTGAGAGGAGGAGGAGGCCTGCAGGGAGGGGCATCAGGCGACGGCGGAGCAACTCCTGGGTAAGAGTCTCACTTGTCGTTTATATACATTACGTATTTATATTATATATTATATTATATCTGGCTAGAATGCCAGATTAGGTGCGATTTGTGATTCGTTATTTGTACGAAATTCGCGAATAGCGCACGGGCACATTGAGAAAAAAAATTGTTGGTTTAAATAAATATTTTTTTATTCAACTAAATGCGGCGGTCACGGGCTGTCAAGCAAACATTTGTTAATTTCAACAAAATACTTGTTAATTCACAAAAATATCATGTTAATGATGTATCATGTTATTGATGTATGTTTAATTCGAAAACATATATAATTGAATCAAAGAAAAACTGCCAACAAAACGCATTTAGTTATTTTAACAACTTTTTTTCTCAGTGCAGATTCGTTAAAAGCGCGCGCGCGTTCGCTGTTTATTCGTTCATCAATTCACCAACAGAGCGGTTTTTTTCGACGAAATCAAAGGCCACGAATGCCGACGAATCAGTTAATTCACACTGATTCGCTTACCAGAGCTGCATCGTACAAACGGTGAACCATGGTGAATTATGAATAAAACGTGAAAGTTCGTAGCGTGGAATGATGCGAATTTCATTACGAATCGTGAATTACAAATTACAAGTGGCACATATAGTTGAATTTTATATTTTTATATTTGCGAAATTAATATTCTTATATTTATATTATTTAATTGTAATTAAATAGTTAATATTCTTATATTCATATTTATTTGAATAACTTGTAAATAAAAAATAGAGAAAGAGATACTCTCATAAAATCCTTATAAAAATTTATGTTTGAGAAGACTTTTGGAGAATTCTTTTGAACGATACGTAATCATTTTACTAAATATTTATTTGACAGTCGAATAAAAAAATCAACGCGTGCGTTAATTACTTTTTCAGATATTAATTATTTTGAACGATGCTACAATTTGAATATATATCTTTATTTTGCAGATTAAAACGTCCGTATGCTGCAACTCCGTTGCTGCGCGTCCGTACCGGTGAGTCGAATTATTTTCGGTAATGAGACGAGAGATGCGAGCAACGATTACAAGTACGGGGTCTAACCCGTACGCTTGTGCGTGCCATATACATTGCTCGGATTGAATGAAACGCGCAGGAAGCACGTGTGCGAGGTAGCGCTGCGAGGCTTGTTCGTTTTGCCAGGTAATCTCCAGGGCGAGGCGCGCGGCCTTCGCGACCGGCCGGCATCGCAGGTGGTGAACCCGCGCGAAATTGAAATTGATTCCGCATCGGTAATAAGCGGCTCCCTGCGGTCCCAGGGTTCCACACACAGTGCCAGGAACAGCCCCCGAGGTCGCCGGCGAGATCGGCCCACACGTACGCGCCACGGCCGCGCGCAAACGATATGTGCACCTCTCTATGCAGGTGCACGCGGTTAACGAGCCGATCGATGCTTCTCTCTCTTCTTCCGTTACTCTCGCGACGTTGTAGCCACATAGTTCTCTCAAACGATTTTCGGACTCATACATCGAAACATGTGTACGTCCGTATAGTTGGAGAAAATTCCATCTCCGTGAAACGTGCAGGCTACAAATTATTCGCGTAAAAAATATCTTTTCTCAGAAATTATTTTCACATCCGTTGCATCTTTTCAAGAGGCTATCTTTTCAAATAGTGAAAAGAAAAGAGTACGTTTTTAATAGGTATTACTTCGACAATGCAATTGCATAACGCTTACTGAAACAGCTGTAATAAAAAGCTTTTATTGTTAAGGATGCGGGAAAAGAATTAAATTAAAGTGAAGTTATTAACTATATTATCTCTCTCTCCCTGAAATAACATGAATATTAGCTCATAAATCATGTACGTACTAAAATTATTACAAGCATCGACGATTGGTTATGTTAATGACACTTGCTTTTTCATAAATTTTCCTCCAT